TTAATCAACGTTTTACTTAAAATCAACACTTAAAGTGTTTTTAGACGGACGTAAAAAAGTGTTGTGCCAAAAAGAAAATCGGAAAAAAAAAATCACCTAATAGCAGGAAAAAAGCAAATTTTTTTTATTTCCTTATTTTGACGAGCGCCTGATTTCACCACGATGCCTCACATTTATGGCGGAGTCTGTCTATACGGAAATTTGCGGGACTACCCTTTTCTTCTTCTCAAATTAGCTATGCTTTGAGTTCAGAAAGATTGCTCAAAGAGTGAACAAAAACATCAGAACTTCTATTTTCTTTCTCTTCACCCGTTTCCCGATTAACCATGTTCCGTTTAGGCGGACTCCACTAAGCATATATACACATGAGGGGCCGAGATGCAAAATCTGCTACATCCATTCTAGCACTTTTGAAAAAAATTAGCTTTTTTTAATGCTGCTATACACACGAACATGCGTATAAAGAAGATTTTTTGGTGGCTTTTATGAAGTATGTTTTGGGTATTGGGCGAAAACGCTTTGTGCATCTGATAGCCTGGAACAATGTACGTCTAGAAGCAAAAAATCTTGATTTTTTCCAAAACGTCACTTAGCGGGTTTTGCATCTCACCCCCTCACATTAAGACTTCAGATGGAAAGAACAAACAGAATCATATCATGATTCATATCTCACCCTCTCACATTAAGACTACAGATGGAAAGAACAACAGAATCATATCATGATTTTAAAAATTTGTTTGAGTCATGTCACTGCAAAGTTATCAGTGTATCAGCGTTACCTAGTTTAACATGGTCGCGTTTAAGCACAAAGGGGCTATCCTGAAAAAAGCTGTTTTGAGAAAATCGAAGATAAAGTTTTTTTCCCCTTGTTCAGTTTCTGTAAAAGACAAGGAGAGTTTTCTCTTTAACCGAACAAATAAACACATCAATGAAACCAAATGTCTCTTATAGGCAGGGAAATGCCCACTTTTGGTGTAGGTCAAGATTTCTGGCCTGGAAACCTCTGAAATCTGGGTTAGGCCGCTTGTCCTTAAAAGCCACCATATATATGTGCACAAATATAAAAGTTGAAACACTATCAGATAATTTTTTTAACCATGTATTGGTCTTTGCCTTTTTTCAAAAGGACAAGTTCTTTCCAATCATTAAAAACAAACTCACACTAACGGCTTAAAACCTCCAACAAGATGTAATAATAACGGAAATACAAACAGGACAGCCTGGCGGGGGTCTAAAGTAAGCGCCAAACAAACTTAACACTACGACTAATAAGCACATTACTTCCAACATCATCATCGCCACCAAAAATAATCATCATCATGACCACCATCACACTTACCGTCATCGTCACCATCATCATCGTCATCAACAACATCGTCACAGACTTAACAATTCCCCTTTCTTTTGTTTCATTTTTCAAGAAAACAACAATTTGCACAAGGTCAGTACATTACATTCTTATGTAACCAACAAAGATGGGCACCAAAATCAGGACACAGGACAACAAAAAAAAGTCATAAAAACGTAACATAATCCTTTAGAGAGGAAACCCTGTGTTCAATAATGTATAACTGATATGGAATGGAGTACAAAATAATACAAACTGAAAGCATTTTGAACAATGATCATTATTATATAACAGTTGTTGCATGCAAATAGCACTTCTTGTTCCAACAATGCACGCCACTTGATAGAAAAGTGCATTGCCCGGTAAGAATTCATTGTGGTGTGTACGAAAGCCAAGGATACTTTCATGCCCTCCACTTTCTCTCTTAACTTTTCTCAACATTTATAAAACTCACACTACAACAATATCAACATAACTTCACAAAGGCAAAATTACATACCCTGTGTTTAGAGAACATATGCGAGGCATCGTGGTGAAATCAGGCCCTCGTCAAAATAATGAAATGGCGGAAGAAAAAGTCATTTTTTCATCAGTTCGGCAATTTTTATCGAAATTTTGTTTTTTGGCTAAACATCTTTTATGTTCCTAATATGAAAACATACTTCCATGTGAATTTTACTGAGAAACCTTGTTTAAGGGCCCAAGGTATGTAACTTTCAATCAGTTTTCAAGGACTCTTAAGCTATTGAAGTCACCAAACTTTGGTGGCCATTTTCTCGCTAATTTTACTTCTGAAACCAGGCAACCCCACCTTCTTCAATAGCAGCAAATATCTTGACTTATATTGAAGATAAATGGATATTCTTTTCATCGAAAGCAAGGCAAATGAACAAGCTTTAAGAGAATACCAATAATTCCACATGCCCAAAAATTGACGAGCACCTGATTCCACCGCGTCATGACACGTAATACGTAACACATGTTCAAGGCATGGGCAAAGACCCACAGGCTAAACATAGCCTTGGAGCCATTTCAGTCTGGCCTGCCAGTTGACTCCGTAATTAACACATGAGGATAACTATAGAACGACAGATGTATGCCGTTGGCTGATATTTATAATAACAGCTATTTTGCTTGACGTCATTGAGGGATTCCCACTTTGTTGTCGTTCACGGTGGCAACACGACGGCAAAGCACTATTGCAGTATTTTTAAAGCCTGTAACTTACAGTGGTGTGGTGGCGGAGTGGTTAGTGCGCTTGTCTCCAAAGCAGAAAGTCCAAGTTCGAGCCTCGGTTCGGCCACAAATTTTTTTTTTGGCTTAATGACGTCAAACAAGATAGCTGTTACTATAAATATTGGCCAATGGCGTACATCTGTCGATCTTAAGTAATTCGCATGTGTAATCAACAATGAAAGTGGTCCGCGGTGAGTAAACAATAGATCAAAATAAAACTGTCTGTCTTGAAAATTACAATAAGTAATTTCCTGTCAAACTGGAAGCAATAGATCCAATAATAATTTATCTTTTGAAATATCCTTGCATCAAAAGCTATGGTGTGACTTTTGACCCCACCTTTGAGAACTTGGGCATTTCAACCAATTTCACCCACTTTTTCTCCTTCTTTGGCCCAGGAGATATTCAGAATCACTTAATCCATCCAACAGGGATGCCACTCAACTTTTTAAAAAATAGCTGAAAATCCACGCGCCACGGTCTCGTTAACATATGAGTTTTCTCGACTTGCTGAGATTAGCGCAAATCTTCCGGGGTTTTTTCTCCCTGTTATTTGAACTTTTGCGAAGTCTTTGTTTTTCCGTTATCTGAACATTTGGCGCAAGTTGTTGTGTGTGTGTGTGTGTGTGTTGTTTTTTTAATTCCCAACTATAGAATCTATCTCGATCTCAATAAACAGAAATAGCGGGTCAGAATCAAAATACCGGAAATACCGGTAAAAAGCGGAAAAGGGTCATCCCTGATCTAATGACTTGGTATACCTGACATAGACATAACACTTTTGTCAATTTAATTTTTAAAATCATTTTTCACAGCAGAATGTGTACTTAACGAGTGGTATGAACACCAAGCACTCAGGCTATAAAGGAAGAGGAAGGCCACGCAAAAGGTGGATCGAGGGTGTCAAGGAAACCCTAAGAAAACATAACATCACAACTGAAAGAGCTGCGGAGCTGGCCTACCATAGAAAACTGCATCTCCCCTCGACGCTTAACGGCAACAGAGGATAAAAAAGTAAAGTATGAACTGAGGTGTGGTATGAACAAAAGAATTTCTGTACCTTTCTGTTTTAGTTTTAGTAAGAGTTTTACTGCATTTTGCAACACAATAAGGTCATATAAATGCCGAAGATTAGAGGTGTTACAAGCGAGTAGCCATCACAAAAAAGAAGGAGGGGAGATAAAGACGATAGATGTTTGATAGGAAAGAAGGAGTAAAACCACACTAGAGCACCCGCCAACCACCCACGAAAGAATTTCTGTATCTTTCTGTTCTTGCTGTTTTAAAATTACATAAGCTGTCTTGTAGACAATACTGGGGTATAGTTAGTTTGCACAGTCACATCACAACCGCCAAAGTGACACAGCTGGCAGCGCACTCACAAGTGTATATTGTCACATCATGACTGTTTGTTTTAGAAGAGTTTTTTAAAGAGTTTTACGGCACTTAAAGCACAATAAGGTTATATTATAAGTGCCGAAGATTAGGTGTTACAAGAAAGTAACAAACAAAAAAAAAGAAGGAAGGGAGATAGAGATTATAGATTTTTTTAAAGGAAAGAAGAAGCAAACCATACCAGAGCACCTGCCAACCACCCATAGTAGAGGTTTTACTGTGTTTGCAACTGCATATGGTCATATGAGAGCAAAGGGGAGGATGTCAGCAAAGAAGTCCATACAGGGAATCAGGCTTACTCTGCTCATCTCTCTAGCTTCAACAGCACAGTCTGCTTCGACTATATAAAGGCACTCCGAACATTGCGCGTCACAAGAGTGTGACAAACACACAAAAGAAGTAGAGGACAAAATGACGATAGTAAGGATTAAGAAAGAAAGAGCAGCAGTTCCTTGTTGCAGTTCGGGCACAGTTATGAGTATGACATTGATGAATCAGCCCATTATACAATTGTACTGTGCACAAGAACATGGCTAACGCTCCCCGATGGCTAAAGACATTTCAGTCAGTAGCACTGCCCCGGGGAGGGGGGGGGGGAATCATTACTGGCAGGATGACGGCATTTGCAGCACTTTAATTGTAAAGGTAAAAACAGAGGAACAATGAAGTGTGTGAGATTCTCCGTACAAGACAAACCTGCTTTACAAAAATGAAAAGTAAGAAAACTACAACACTTTGGTCACATAAATTTGTATAAAATGCCACCACAGTATAAGAAAGGAATTACTCGAAAACAAGATATGAGGGGAACAAAAGGGTTAACTAAAGGCGAACAGAAAACTCTGTTGACCAATAACATCAAGACTGGCCTAATTAGGATGAGAGATTGCACGCCGGCAGCTAGTAACAGTTAAGAGTCAGGGTCAGTTTGTATTTTGTCCTAAGATTTTTACGGCACTTGCAACATAATAAGGTCATATAAGTGCCGAAGATTAGAGGTGTTACAAGAGAGTAACAAACATAGAAAAGAAGGAGGAGAGATAAGGACGATAGATGTTTGATAGGAAAGAAGGAGCAAACCACACCAGAGCACCCAGCAACCACACATCAAAAGGGTTAAGGGTGAACAGTAAACATTGTAGACCAATAACATCAAGACTGGCCTAAATGTGATGAGAGATTGCACGACGGCAGTGGTCAGAATCAGTCACAGGGCAAGGCATCACAAGTTGACGTCGCTGTATCTGATGTTACGACGGCAGTTAGCAACAGTAAGAGTCCGGCTCAGACACGGAGCAGTAACATGCATCACAAGCTGACGTCGCTGTTACTGATGTTCATGGGGCTCTCTCCAATGCCTCAAGGTCGGCCTGGCACCCACCCACCACCTATATAGGGTCCGTCACAGAGCAGCACATCACAAGTTGACGTCGCTGTAGCTGATGTTCATGGGGCTCTCTCCAACGCCTCAAGGTCGGCCTGGCACCCGCCCACTACCTACATAGGGTCCGTCACAGAGCAGCACATCACAAGTTGACGTCGCTGTAGCTGATGTTCATGGGGCTCTGCAGCTGCAGCTCTCTCTCCAGCGCCTCAAGGTCGGCCTGGCTCAGGCTGCTGCTCACGTCCAGCCAGTCGGCCAGCAGAGACGAGGACAGAGGACTCTGCTCCACGCGCACGCTGAGGGGAGGTACAACAAGACACTTTTGTTCAGTTTGAAGTTTTAGTAAGACCTCTACAGCATTATAAACACACCAGGTCATATCACAACCTCAGTGCTTTCTTGCTGTATTTCCATATCTTTTTTTTTGCTTAAGAAGAAGTCACATTTTCACTGTTAAAAAAAAAATAGAGATACGACAAGAAAGCACTGAGGTTGCGATATATAAATGAGTCTAAATTTTTTTAATTTTTAAAGACACATTTAATGACATTATTTTTATGTCAGTAGATTCATGTTCAGTACAATGTTATGTAAATGACTATGTATCCATTTATATATTTGCGAATTGCATTGTGTATATTATTCTATTATATACGTGTATGTGCTCATTTCGTAATGATGTGTAAGCGTACACGTGTGATAAGCAAGTAGATGTGTGTGTTTGTGTGTGTGTGTGTGTGTGTGTGTGTGTGTATGTGTGAGTGTTTGGCGTGCATGTGCGTGTAATGTGTGCGCGAGTGTGCGTGTGTGTGTGTGTGTGTGTGTGTGTGTGTGTGTGTGTGTATGAGTGTATATGTGTGCATGTGTATGTCGCATGCATGAATATTGTTCGCACATGCATTTATGTAAAGCACCAAGAGCTGTGTTTTACATGGGAGTCGGTGCTATAGAAATGATCTTCATTATTATTATTATTATTAAATAACAAAAATTGGAGGTGCAACTAGAGAGAGACAAAAAAAAAGAAGGAAGAGAGATAAGGATGAGACATGTTGAGGGGAAAGATGGATAAAACCACACCAGAGCATCCGACAAACATCAACCGGCAAGACACTAAGCATATTAACAGGAGGAAGAAATGAGACATCGGGCTATTTCTGAAAAATTTGTATAAGTAAAAAGAAAATGCACATGGATACAATATCAGTTATTCAGTGCATGGAAAGTCTAAAACAAACAACAGACAGACAGAGAGAAAATGGGGACCTGCCCTCCAACTACCTCATGTCTTTAGTTATAGTTTTAGTAAAATTTTTAACGGTATTTGTAATATAATAAGGTCATATAATTGCTGAAGATTAAAGGTGTTACAAGAGAGTAACATACACGAAAAAGAAAGAGGGGAGATAAGGATGACAGATGTTTAATAGAAATAGAAAAGAAGGAGGAAACCACGTCAGAGCACCCGCCAACCACACAAACCAAACACCTTTGGAAGAGGAACACCAAAAAGTGGTGCCCACGTCCCTCGTGACTCATTGGAGCAGAGGAAGATAGGACTAACGTTAACATAAAACTTAAACGCAATCCCTCATCATCACTCATCACCACTATTAATTCTATAATCATCACCGCTCTCAGATCAATGACTTACATCTATAATCCTGGAATCTCTATCCGCTATTACAGTTAATTGATATACTAAGTATGCATGTAATACACTATTGGACACAATCATAGGCACTTTTTTCTACTAATCAGATGGCGTCAATCTCATATAAATGGGCAAGGGAAAAAAAAAAAAGAAGAAAAAAAAGAGGAACAGCGCGAAGAACGGAAGAAGCATCGTATTGTACCAGGCGTTATTGTCTTGTGCATCCGTCAGCATAGTCTCGAGATCCATCCCGACTCCGTAGCCTGCGCCGGTGCCTTTAGGGGTCAAGGCCAGCGTGGGCGGGAAGACGTCCACCACCTGCGACTTGGAAAACTGTTTGCTGAGCAAAGCGATCAGGTCGGCCGGGGAGTCTGCCGTCCGTCCCGGTTTGTTGCAGTTCACCGTCAGGCCACGACTCACGTTCGACGGACCTAGTGGAGGAAGTAAATTGACACACAACTTAGTTTTTTAGTTTTAGTAAGTGTTTTACGGCACTTGCAACACAATAAGGTCATATGAGTGCCGAAGATTAGATGTATTACAAGAGAGTAACAATAACAAAAAAGAAGGAGGGGAGATAAAGTCGATAGATGTTTGATAGTAAAGCAGAAGCAAACCACACCAGAGCACCCGCCAACTTAGTTTAGTTTAATTGTTTCAGTAGAGGTTTTATGGCGCTCGCAACTGCATAAGGTCATATGAGCGCCAAAGGGTGGGTGTCAACAGAGAAGTCCTTACAGGGAATCAGATTTACTCTGCTCAGCTCTCTAGCTTCAACAACTCAAAGTCTGCTTCGACTATCAAGGCATCCCGGAAATAGCAGGTCACAAGAGTGTGAGAAACATACAAAAGAAGTAGAGGAAAAAATGACGATAGTAAGGATGGGGAAAGAAAAAGCAGCAGTTCCCTGTTGCAGTTCAGGCACAGGTATGAGCATGACAATTATGAATGAGCCCATTTACAATTCTACTGTGCATAAGAACTCAAAATGTTAATATCTCCCCTTTGGGAACGGCCTAAAGACACTCCAGTCAGTAGCACCGCCCCGAGGGGTACAACTTAGTTTAGTCAAAGATTCTGTATAATGAGATAGTTCACTCCTCTCTTTGAACCAATTGAAAAAGTGTCCTCTCAATCTGGCGGCGCCCTCTTCAAAAAAGCGCCTGCTTTGCGAACAGAGTTACCTACTACTTGTGTGGAAAAAAAATCAAAGTGAAACTAACAAGTTTTTGTATAAATTATAATTAAAATCTCGGAATAACGCCTTTTTAAATGGTTACACTGATAAAAATCTTCTTCAGGTGGAAGGGGCAACTGTTTTCTCCGTTTAATTTGGCTTTAGAACGAGAGGTCATTAAAATAAACTAAACTCATAACTCCGTACTGAGTGAACCAGAACAGCTGACGCACAAGGGGGTGCTATTCCTATTCTTCTCCTGGAGAAACGAAAGAGAGCTTCATTTTCATACAGAGGACGTGAGTTCGATTCTCGTATGGTGGGGATTTTAAAAATTAAATTGAATGTCTCAGTTAATTAGAATCCCATTCAATCCGCGTTGGCTCCGACAACAGAGCAGGGGGAAAGCAACCCATCTCCAAACTAATGAGAAAACTGCATTAACTCTTTATCTCCGGCAAGCCACTCCGAGCGGCTCACGGTCAGAACCATTGGGCACATTCCTTTACGACGACTTCAACATCAAATTACTTTTCGGCAATTGCCAAAAACAGGTTTCTTTTACCTGAAGTTCATTCTTTGGAAGAAGAACTATCAAAACAGGTTTGCTAGTTTCAATTAAATGACCCATTTAATGACGTTTTTGTCATTTTTAGATTTAACACCAAAAAAGGGCCCCGGCGTAGTGGGTTTACCCCCCCTCAGAGATAGAGAGTCAATAGTGCTGTAAAACATCTACAACCTAAGGCGCTATTACCTGGCAGAGGCTGGTGTTGGTTCCCGTACGAGGCGGACGGCCCCACCATATGCCCGTGTGGCTGGTGGTGGAACAGCTGGGCTTGTTGACCCCCAGAGTTGCCCAGACTGGACGACACGGGGTTCCCCGCTGACATGGGAATGTTGTGCTGGTGGGTCTGTCTCTGCTGGTGATAACTGTTATTGTTATTAAAGTTGGAAGCACACGGCCCCAAGGCCACGGAGGATGAAGAGGGGATCTGGAAAGACGGACCTGAGCCGCCAAAATTCTGCGGAGTCTGGAAACTGGAAGAAGTGGAGGGGAACATTTGCTGGTGGTGCTGGTGTCGCTGCTGTTGTATCTGACTAGCCTGAGGGCTGAACTCCGAGGTGCTCGGGAACAACATGTTGGACTGAGGGTGGGGGTCGGACCCAGCAAAGTTCAAATCCGCACCGCGAGATGGATATTCAGAAAAGTTCTCGCCTGTTAAGAAATTCGGCGGATGGTTGTTGAAGGTGTTGTTAGTGCTGTTATTTGCTTGATGGAAATTGCCCCCATAACTGCCGTGGGTAGGGAACGAGTTGGAGAGAAGTTGATCCCCGTAAACCGAGAAGGGCAGAGCGTCTGTGTTATGAGAAGCGTCGCCGCTGTGATTTGGACGACCGTGTGACTCGCCGGTACCTTGAGGCAAATGAGCACCTGTTCCGTGCTGCTGGGGGGGTTGCAGAACCTGGGGGAAACTTGAGTAGGATGGCGGCGGGTGAGGGGGTGACAGGTTGATCTGTAGGTTTTCAGAAGACGGACTCTCATTTTCTGACTTGAAAATGTTCGTTTGCCCATCTCCAGACATATGATGAGAGTACGGGTCAAAAGAGGAAGCTCCGAAACTCTTTCCACCCAGTTTTTCCATGTTTTCAGCTTCTTCCTTGATGTGTCTATCCAGAAAGTCGCTGAGGTCATTGCCCTGACCATTAGGCGTAAATTTTTCCTCACTAGAAACATCCTGCTGCGGTTCGCTGTGCAGATGACTGGAGGACCCAGCCCCAGTAGAGGAGGCAGGCAGCATGTGGGAGGGAATGGCACTTAACTGAGAGACTTCCGGAAGACCTTTGGAGGTGGCCTGAGAGGGGAATGAAGGCGCTCCTGAAGAATTTACCGACGACACTTCCTCCTTTGTATCAATCTGATGGAGGAAAGGGAATGACGGCGCTCCTGAAGAATTTACCGACGATACTTTCTCCTTTGTATCAATCTGATGAAGGAAACTACCCAGAGGTTTCACGGGGTCTGACCTCTGATTAGAGTTACCCGCCCCTGCTTCAGCCTGACTCCGCAAGAGAATGGCATTCTGTAACATAGCCTTTGTGCTGTCGGAGGCCTGGGACGAGGAGAAAGAAGAGGTGTTACCGCCGGACATACCCGCCTGAGGGGTCACCTCTTCTGAGCGGTAAATTCGTTTAATCTCCAGCTTGCCTGGATTGACAGCTGAAGGGATTGCAATGACAGGGATAAAGTTACTCTGCGAGAGGCCAATCTGAGAGGAGGATATGATTACCGTGCCACCAGAATTCATCTGATTAGAGGAGAGAGTCACTGATGAGGCCATGGTTAAAGTAGAGGAGCTGGTTTTGGCCAGGATCTGTCGAGGCTTGACGGAAGAAGTCCCTGACGACTGTTTTGAGCCTTGAAGGGCTCCGCTTCCTGTACTAGCGCCTCCTGGCGCGTTGTTCGTCCCGCTATGGTTGGCCGGCGACGACGAGGGCTCGGGATGAGGAGGACTGTTGCTGTTAGAGTGCTGTCCCCTCTGAGCAGGATTCTGCATGACAGTCCAGCGACGGAGCAGTTCCACGTCTTGGTTTGATAGAGAGATGCTCTGTTCTTGCACACCTACGAGGAAGACAGATGCGTTAACAAAAAAACAACAACGATAAAACGTTTTTATCATTGACTTCGATAAACACTTTGCCATCACAAGGCCCATATAGTAAAAACCCTTGCAATCAAAGGCAAAGGCATTTTGGGGAAAATAAAAAGAAACTGGGAGGTAAACATTGCCGCTCAATGAGGTGTGATAGCAAAGTGTTCAAGAGAAGCACACGGATGCAATGACCGTCATTTAGCAGTAGAAAAAAGAGATGTGATAGCAAAGTGTTCAAGAGAAGCACACGGATGCAATGACCGTCATTTAGCAGTAGAAAAAAGGTCAGATAAAAAGACAGAAAGAACGGAGGGAGAGGACCTACCGCTGGCAACCTCCACCAAACCCCTTTTCTTCACCCTTCTCCCTCCCAGACCTAACATTGACGACACACTCTATGGAACATTACAGCAACTGCAGCAAACCTGCACTTATCACTACAAGGCATTGGACAGAAGGGCGAGAGTCCAGCTGTTGCTGGACCGATAACAACAACAACAACATCCCCTTTTCTTAAACCTCAAAGCAAACTTATCTATACTAAAAGGTTGGGCACTCTGTTAGCTCAGTTGAAATCCAAGGCTGCGTACTTGAAAATTCATTATATCATGGCAATGGAAAGTCTCTTTTCCTCTGGGGTGCTGGGGTGTCAAGGACAGTGGTTGTGCGTTGAAAGATGAAGGTAACATGAACAAAATCGTGATGACATGAAGGAGGTCTCGGCAAGCTATCACCAAGGAAGGAAAAGCAAGAAGATTGGTTCGGGTAGCTGAACAGAAAATACATTTAAAAAAATTTGAAATCAGGAGTATTATAATCGCATTTTCATAAAATTGATAAAAAATCAACAGTACCTGAATTCAATTTTTAGAAATATTTTTCAAAAGTCTCTCAAATGTTGCACACAACACACAATAAACTACACCTACAAACAGCACCTTTCTTATCTTTCGACTTTTTGACCTTTTCCAATGCTCTCTCTTTTTTCTTCCTCCGCTTCTCCTCTCGTTCCTTCTGCCTCTGTTGAGCTGTTATCGGCTTCGATCTGTCCACATCATCACTTTGAGATTCTGAAATTTTTTTAAAAAAGGGCATTTTAAAAATAGTGGAGAAAGTTTAATCAGAAAAACTGTCTGAGGGACTTACATTGAGTGTGGCTCCTTTCAAATTACTGAAACATTCGTTCTCTCTTTCATTTCTACGGTTTGACACGCTTGTTTGAGTACTCTGCCCGTTTGCCTATTCTTATTGTTTTTTGTTTTATTGCCTCAGCAAATTTTAGGTCCATTTAAAAACACATTTGTGTATGGATTTTACTGAAAAACGTTGATTTAAGGTACAAAATAGGTAAATTTGCAGATCCCAAGTACTCTCAAGCTTTGGAAGTCATCAAACTATGGCAGCTATTTTCTCGCTAATTTTGTTGTTGAAAACAGGTGACCCCCACCTCCTTCAATCTAAACTATCTGACTTCTGTTCAAAATAGATGAGTATTTTTTCCCTGCAAAAGCAAAACAACTGAGCAAGCTTTCAGGTGATACCAGCAACTCCACATGCCCAACAATTCTACGCACAATGATAAAATATACCTGCTCTTTGCCTTCTCTGGGTGGCATTTAGAAGAGCTTGTTTGACCAAAGCTTTCGTGTCTTCTGAAATTGTATTGCTAGGCTTCTCCGGCGTCACCGACTTCCCAGTGCTCTCTTTCTCCCCAGGGGCTGCTTTCTGCCCCTCGGAGACCTTTCCATCTGGTCCAACGTCTTTCTTCTTCACAGGAGGCAGCTCTGGTGGACCTTGAGTCTCCATTGCTCGGCCATCGTTTGACTGTGCGCTCAGCATTTCAATGTCTGCAGAAGGCGCCACGACCTGCAGTCGACCGACATCGAGAGACACTGGGGACACTTTGGAGCCAGTCTTGTGGGTGTCCGCATTTGGCGTCTTCTGAGTCTGGTAGCTCCCGCTGGCCCTGGTCTCCGTGACAGAATCTGGGAACGGTCATAGCAGAACAATATACAAGCAAAGTCTTAACCCCTCCAGCTCTATGGTAAGTTCTTAAAAAAGTTTTAGTAGGTGTTTTACGGCACTTGCAACACAATAAAGTAATATATAAGAGCTGAAGATTAGAGGTGTTACAAGAGATTAACAAACACAGAAAAGAAGGAGGGGAGATAAGGACAATAGATGTTCGATAGGAAAGAAGAAGCAAACCACATCAGGGCATCCGCCAACCACCCACCTGGTAAGATTACAAAGCTACCCTGGTAGTGAGAATGCTACAAGCTTATACTGAGTGCACACTGCCAATCAAATTCATTTGATTCAGTCAGACCTAACCAGATTTTCCTTCATGGTCGGACGGGGCAAGAGCTACCATTTTGGCATATTCCAACTGAATTCAACAAAATTCGAGAGTGACTTTCAAAATCATAAGAGTTTGTTTTTCAAGGCTGCCAGTTGAGTCTGTCGTATAGCACCGAAACTGCAGCTCTTGCCCCTCCATAAAGGAAAATCTTAGACAGTTGTACGTCACATGGTTAGCAGACATAGACTTTTTGATAGTTTAGTTTTAGTAAGAGTTTTACGGCAGTTGCAACACACTAAGGTCATATGAGTGCTGAAAATTAGATGTAGTTGTAGTTTTAGTAGAAGTTTTACGGCGCTCGCAACTGCATAAGGTCATATGAGCGCCAAAAGATTAGAGGTGTTACAAGAGAGTAACACACATAAAAAAGAAGAAGGGGAGATAAGGACGATAGATGTTTGATAGGAAAGAAGAAGCAAACCACACCAGAGCACCCGCCAACCACCCACAAAATTAGATGTGTTACAAAGGAGTAACAAATAGAAAAAAGAAGGAAGAGAGATAAGGTGGATAGATATTTGATAGGAAAGAAGGAGCAAACCACACCAGAACACCTGCCAACCATCCACAAGGAAAATCTAGCTAGCCCAGACTGAATCAAATGAATGCCATTGGCAATGTGCACAAGGTTTAAGAGGAAGAACTGGACAGACATGGGATGAGCTGGAGAAGAAATTCTTGGACAAAGGCCTTGGAGATAAATTGTTTGTAGCTTAACACTATGCCCCAATTGGCGACGGTGAGAAGCCGTCCCTTTTCCCCACAGGACGCCGATCTGCGACGGTGTGATATATAGTGGTGGGCAAAATCCGGATAACCGGATTCTTCTCAGTGAAACATTATCCGAATTCAGACTCACAAACTCTCTTTCCTGACCCATTTGCCGAAGTGGGTGCACCCATAGTTTGAAGTGGTTCTTCTAACCCATTTGCTGAAGTGGTTCATGACACATTTAATCACTGAAGAGGTGCACTAACATTATCCAGATTTTGCTAAAGCGACTCATTGCCCAGTCCTAGTGATATAGCGTGTACCGCTCCAGTATCCTGGTCCGTGGGGATAAGAGTTGCGTGGGTGAAAACTGTTAAGCTCCTTGATCTGTTTGATTGAGAGAAGAGAAGCACATCCCCAACATAAAGGTCTTCTATGTCGGTGGCCTAGTGGTTAGGCTACCAGACTTGTAATCGTGAGGTTGCGGGTTCGGAGGTTCGAGCCGTGGGCCCGACGATGTGTCCTTGAGAAAGGCACTTTACACAAATTTTCCTCACTTCACCCAGGTGGGAATGGGTACCCAGCCATCGACAGCGAAAGATCTTGTCAGAATGTTAGTGTTTTAGCGCCTATAAAATGGCTGCTTGCATTGTATGCTTCCCAGGAAGTTGAGTTTGTTTCAGAATGCTCTCAGGTCTGCTGGGGTAATAGTATAGATTGTGAAGCGCATAGAGCTTGCTGTTGAGTGGGGATTTGCGCTATACTAAAGCTATCTATTATTATTCTATGTGTACCGGGTAATGGAAAAGCACCTGACTGCTCCACCACAGACATTGGTTCTACTTTTTTCATGTTCCTTAACACTTCATCGTGTTCATCATCAAGATTTTTCCCCTCCGCCATAAGGGCTATAAAGAGGATCCAGGTTTTCTTGAACAAGTGTCTAAGGAAGTTACTGAAGATCAGATGGAAAGGCAGGGTAACCAACGAGGAAGTGTGTTAAGGAAAACAAGACAGATCCCAGTCAGAGATGAGATAGGAAGAAGGCTGGCGATAGATTGGACACACTCTCAGGAAGTCAGGCAGCTGCATATCAAAAAGAGTGTTGGATTGGAACCCACAGGGTGAAAGATCAAGGGGAAGACTGCATGGAGCCTGGAGAAGAATCACAGAAATTGATGTACAGAACAGTGGGAAGACATGGAATAACATCAAGAGGCTCACCCAGGATAGAGAAAGGTGGAAAGTGTTTGTCCTGGGTACAGGGTGAGAAAGGCAATGATGATGATGAAGACCATAGGGGCTATCATCCAATCAAAGTATTTTTTTTCAATCTAAACTCACAAACAGAACATTTCTAACGACCACACACCATGGACAAAAAAACTGTCAGCATAAACCTTGACAAAAAAGATTCAAGTTAATTTACTTACCGGCCTTGCTTGCTCCTTTGGGCTGAGAAGTGGGGCTGTCGGAAGAGACAATCACATCCTCGTGTTTATCTTCCGACTTTTCCAGCTTTGGGGCTGGTCGTAAAAATGCACTGAAGCTGAGAGAAGGCTGCCGCGGCTGGTGGAAGTCCGTTATCTCGTGCATGATTGCCTCGCGCAGTGAGGGTTTGTCCATCTCCTGGATATGGTGGAAATGAAAAAAACGTCAGAAACTAGTTTTAGCCAGTGTTTTATGGCACTTGCAACACACAATAAGTTCATATAAGTGCCGAATACTAGAGGTGTTACAAGAGGGTAATAAATACGAAAAAGGAGGAGAGATCAGGACGAAAGATGTTTGATAGGAAAAAAGGAGCAGAGCACCCGTCAACCACCAACAAATGTCAGGATTTAACAATCACAAGTGTATTCCAGTATTTAAAAAAAGAAGCATATTTAAAAAAAATAAAAAATGTAGATACTTTACCCCCTCATACACATCACACAATTGAAACCATTTTCAGGGGGCTCTCGTGGCCTAGAGGTCATGGTGTTGGCCTCTCATTCAAAGGTCTTGGGTTCAAATCCGAGTAGCGACCGAAAAATTTCTTTCTCTAAAATTGTCTACTTTCATCTCCTTCCCTGCTCTCTAGCAATGTTCTGTCATTTGCTTTCGTCTCCTCTTTCTGCCCCCACCCCCTCGCCTCCTTTGCCCCCTCCTCTGGGCTCCTGTCTCTTTCTGCAGCTTTCTTCTGCTACTCCTTGGCTCCTTCTTACTGCTGTCTTTCAGCAACACCCCTGATCTTCTGGTAGGAAAGATCTACACTTAGCCTTCTCAGACTAGGGTGAAAAATCTCGGAGATCCCATGTGTACGTTGTGCACGTTAAAGATCCCTTGGTGGTTTAAAATCGATAAGAGTAGGCTTCGGCCAACCCCCTGGCAAAATTCAAAATTTCCTACCAACTTAAAATGTTTAATGCGTCCCGCATGCCCATATGCCCTTATGCAGTTGCGAGCGCCGTAAAACATTTACCCAAAAAAAAAAAAAAATTTCATTCTCACACTAACACACGTACCTCCTTCTCAAAATCAAAGTTGAAAGTTGGCACACATATGGGCTCATCATCCGGATCGTGGTAATTATTGAGCAGACGGTGCGACAAAGCTTTCTCCACTGGGATGCGGACTTCTGGGTTCAAAACCAGCATCTTGCTCAGAAGATCGATGGACTTTTTGCTGGCTTTTGGAAACAATTTATCCCAGGCCATTGGTTCTTTCTTCCCAAAACCTGCGTGGAGAAACATGAGGACCAAAAAGTATCATAATTTGTCAGCAAGCTGTTCAACTTTTCTAAACCAAAAGTCAAAAGTTGTTAGCAGAGAGAAAAAAAACCCAACTGTTTCATTCTTCAAAAAATTGTACCTGCATAATACATCTTTTCTTTTTTTTTTTTTTCTCCCAATGTTTAAAATTTAAATTTCAGCAAAATGTTTCTTAAGCACATGCCATTGATACCAGGAGAAGGCTTTCGACAGAGTAAATCATGCCAAACTATGGAAGACGCAAATTGAAAAATATTCCGTCAGAAGACACCAGCCAGACAAAGTCAGAGCTCTATATTCCAAAGACCTATCTAACCCTTTTTTTTTTCAAGACGACATTGTGCTATGGACAATACTGGAATACTAACAGAATACTATTAGAACAGGGATTATGTATCAAACTTATACCCAGAGCATACTGCCAATCTGATTCATTTCATTCAAAAAGGGCTGGCAAGATTTTATTTCACGGAGGGGCAAAAACTAGTATTTGGGCACAAAACGACCGATTCGAGTCCAACTTTGAAAAACAAACGTGTTTAGTTTAGAAGCTCACATTCAAATTCAGCTGAATTCGTCCACCAGCTGTGCTCTCATTAGGACCATGGGACGAGAACATTCCATTTGTACAAAGCTTTTAAACAACGAAATTTCTGTGTCAAATCCAGTCTTCAAACATTTGCTGTGGGTGGTTGGCGGGTGCTCTGGTGAGGTTTGCTCCTTCTTTCCTATCTAACATCCATCGTCCTTTTCTCCCCTTCTTCTTTTTTATGTTTGTTACTCTCTTGTAACACCTCTAATCTGCAGGCGCTCATATGACCTTATGCAGTTGCGAGCGCCGTAAAACCTCTACTAAAACTAAAAAGAAAACATTTGCTAAACAGAGGTAAACTTAGAAAAAGCAATTTTTTAAATGCAAAAGTTGTTAAGCCCCGCTCGAAACAATTTAGATCATTTAGGAGGTGGGCTTCCACGGCCAACCTGGGTTGAAAGGGATACAACATCACAGCAGAAAGACGGAGATTTTCAACAAAAATTTCTTCCCCACTTGAGACTCAAAGTCAGGTCTCCTGGATTCAACAGTGAGTGATCTGTGCTAGGTGCTTCATGGTCGAATGAGCCAGATCTGAAACAGACATCGGCAGTCATGATTCACCACTCACGTCTCTGCACCAATGATTTCGAAACATTTACGTATATTATCCTGGTATATTTCTGCCATCCATCAGTCGGCTTTCAACAAAAGAAAATATGTCTTTTTTAGTTTAGTTTTAGTAAGAGTTTTACGGTACTTGCGACACAATAAGGTCATATAAGTGCCGAAGATTAGAGGTGTTACAAGAGAATAACAAACACAAAAAAAAGAAGGAGGGGAGATAAAGATGATAGATGTTTGATAGGGAAAGAAAAAGCAAACCACACCAGAGCACCCGCCAACCACCTATGAAAATTTGTTTAAAAAAAAATCCTCACTCTTGATAATCCGCTTGAGAATGTCATTCTGACAGTTTTTCATCACGGCCTCTGAAGGGGTCCCTAACACACCAAGAATCAGCTTCACCTGGGACATGTAGTCTTTGCCTGAAAAGAAAAAGCAGAGAATTCAACAAAGGTAAACATAAGATAAGACAAGATCAGATAAGATAAAGATAAGATAAGATAAGATAAGATATAAGAGGCACTTCACACAAATTTTCCTCACTTCACCAATGTGGGAACGGGTACCCGGCCACAGACAGTGAAAGATCTTGTCAGTATGTTAGTGTTTTAGCGCCTATAAATGGCCGCTTGCACTGTATACTTCCCAGGAAGTTGAGATTGTATTTGAATACTCTCAGGTCTGCTGGGGTAATAGTATAGATTGTGAAGTGTAAAGAGTGGGGATTTGCGCGATATATAAATGTTATCTATCATTATTATTATTATTAAGTTCTCACCAGGAAAGAGATGTTTTCTGCCAATCATCTCAGCAAAGATACAGCCGACAGACCACATATCCACAGCTGTGCCGTACTCCAACATAGACAGAAGAATCTCCGGCGCTCGGTACCACCGGGTGGCCACGTACTGCGTCATGTAATAGCTGGGCTCGTCTGGGGTGTAGAAGATCCCTCTGGCCATTCCTGGATGGGAAAAAAGTTTGTTTTGTTTTCGTAAAGTGTGGGGAAAAAGTTTGTTTGTTTTTGTAAAGTGTGGGAAAAAAGTTGGTTTGTTTTTGTAAAGTGTGGGGAAAAAAGTTGGTTTGTTTTTGTAAAGTGTGGGGAAAAAAGTTTGTTTGTTTTTGTAAAGTGTGGGAAAAAAGTTTGATTTTGTAAAGTGTGGGAAAAAAGTTTGTTTGTTTTTTAAAAGTGTTTTACTGCGCTCGCAACTGCATAAGGTCAAATGAGCGCGCGGGACACACCTAATATTTTCAGTTGGTAGGAAATTTTGAATTTTGCCCGGGTGGCGGCCGAAGCCTACTCTTATCGATTTTAGACCACCAAGGGATCTTTAACGTGCGCAACTTGCACACGGGCCCTCCGAGATTTTTCGCCCTTGTCCGAAAAGGCTAGGTGTAGATCTTTCCTACCAGAAGATCACGGGTGTGGCTGAAAGACAGATGTAAGAAGAAGCGAAGGAGTAGCAGTAGAAAGGCTGCAGAAAGAATCAGGAGCCCAGAGGAAGGGGCAAAGGAGGTGAGGGGGTGGGGGCAGAAGGAGGGGACGAAAGCAGACGACAGAACATTGCTAGAGAGCAGGAAATGAGGTGAAAGGAGACAAATTTAGAGAAGAAAATTTTTGTTGCTACCCGGATTCGAACCCGGGACCTTTTGAATGAGAGGCCAACACCTTAACCTCTAGGCCACGAGAGCCCCCTAAGAAAAAAGTCAGGAAGAAGCAGTATATACGATGATCAGATGATGATGACGCTGCAACTATTCTTCATTTGAAACTTGTTGCGAGAAAGCAACTTTAGACTTTGGTAAAAAGAATACTTAAGGAAAAAAATATTTATGTGTGGGAATATGTCGTGTGCATGCATGCTGTCTCTGAAGACTGTAAATCTTAATATGTGGCAGTTCAAAATACTTTTCCCACTTCCAAAAAAAAATGCTACCAGAGGCAGAAAATGAAGAAACCTATTGTAAGTGCACAAGTTAGAAAACTTTTCTTTCCAAGTGGCTCAGCCAAAAACAAACGAAATTCTTCTAAGTACCGCTTTTTACTAATTTTCCTCTCACTTTGTTCAGAAGAAAAGTATTCAGGGTGACACTTTGTTTGATTTAACAAGAACGGAAGAAATTGATTAGAAAACGATTGTGAGGCAGCGTGGTGGAATCAAGCTCTCATCAATTTTTGGCCATGTAGAGTTATTGATATCATCTTAAAGCTTGTTCACTTGTCTTTATATTGATGAAAAAAATGTTAATTTGTCTTGAATACAAGTCGAGATATTTGCGAAAGAAGGAGGTGGGGGTCAACTGTTTTCAGAGGTAAAATAAGTGAGAAAAGATTAGTTATTTCCTTAGCTGAAGAGTCCACGGTAACTGAACATTTACATTTTTTGTGCCTTTAAACAAAGTTTTTCAGAAAAATCCACACAGAACCGAGTTCTTTAATGGGCATGAAAGGTGTTGAGCCAAAAAACAAAAATTTGATAAAAATTTACAAACCTGTGGAAAAATGGAAGTTTCTTTACTTTGATTATTTTGACGAGAGCCTGATTTCACCACGCTGCCCCACATTTTACAAAATGAGCCCGTGTTTGTTTTTTCTACACTACATGTGAGTTTCGGATCCTAGAATTGCTTTCGGTTGAAATGAGAAAGTTTTTTTCGTTCTCTTGTAAAATCTGCAAAATGTCACTTAGAATAATTTTCTGTTAGACCCGCAAAACTGTGTTGAATCAAACGACAAAAATTCGACAGAAAATTTTTTCAAATGGGCGGGAAAATACTGGTTTCTTCGATTTCATTATTTTGACAAGTGTCTGATTTCACCACAACACCTCACAAATGTAATTGATTTACTATATCATTTTTACAGTTAAATACTGAATCCATTAAACATTTTTTTTTATAGTAGAGGGTTTTACGGCGCTCGCAACTGCATACGGTCATTTGAGTGCCAAGGGGTGGGTGTCAACAGAGAAGTCTTTACAGGGAATCAGACTTAGGCTGCTCACCTCTCTAGCTACAACAGCACAAGGTCTGCTTCGACTATCAAGGCACCGCGGAAATAGCAGATCACAAGAGAGTGACAAACATACAAAAGAAGTAGAGGAACATGACAATAGTAAGGATGAGGAAAGAAAAAGCAGCAGTTCCCTGTTGTAGATCAGGCACAGTTATGAGTGTGACATGAGTCAGCCCATTTACAATTCTACTATGCTTGAACGAGAAATGTCCCCCCTTTGGGAATGGCCTAAAGACACTACAGTCAGTGGCACTGCCCGGGGGGTTAACTGAAACCAAAAGGAGTCCTTGTTCCAGAATACACAACTTTTTTCTTTTTTTTTAGTAGAGGTTTCACGCCGCTCGCAACTGCATAAGGTCATATGAACGCCAGAAGATTAGAGGTGTTACAAGAGAGTAACAAAGATAAAAAAGAAGAAGGGGAGAAAAGGACGATAGATGTTTGAAAGGAAAGAAGAAGCAAACCACATCAGAGCACCCGCCAACCGCCAACTTTTTTCTCCACTCACCAAAATCTCCAATTCTGAGATGACAATCTTCATTGACCAAGACATTACTCGGCTTCAGGTCGCGGTGAACAACGTTGGCAGAGTGGATATATTTCAGCCCGCGGAGGATCTGGTACAGGAAGTAGCGAATGTGCTCCTCACTCAGCTCTTGATCAGAGTAGATGATGCGGTGAAGGTCACTCTCCATTAAGTCGAACACAACGTAGATATCCTGAAAATACAAAACAGTTGAGCCCAGACCTAGAAGAAACTAATGAAAATTAACCCTTTTCCAAAATTTAACAAACATTGATAAGTAAAATAGCACTTTCAAACAAAGGCAAGCACAGAGCAGTCCAAAAAGCATTTAATTATTATAAAAACCTACTAAAAACCCATTCTGAGTAACAGTACGGATTAAACAACCTACTGTCCACTACCCCTGAAATGATGTAGCTCAACATTGTACAAAAAGAAGAAAAAAAAACGAAGGAAAAAACTTCTTCGAAATTTTTTGAGCTTTTATAATTTTGCAGAAACCAGATCTTGGCCTAAAATAATTTTTTATTGTACCACTGAATCAATATATTTACATACAAACTATTGAAAAATTTCGATTAAAGGCATCCAACAGTTTACTTTAAGCTTACCTGGTATGCTTTGACATTTTCTTTCGGCATGAGAATTTCTCGAATGCAGATAATATTGTCATGCTTGAAGTGCTTGAGAATCTTTATTTCCCTGTAGGTTCTTTTAGCAATGATGAGAGCATCAAAGACACTCGGGATCTTCTTAATTGCCACTCGATCTCCAGACTTTGTGTGAATAGCAGAACAGACAACTCCGTATGCACCAATGCCAATGTTTTCTATGGGTTTGTAGTCTGAGCCTTGCAAGTCAAATTTCACGTTCAACGAACGCTTTGCCAGGCTTTGTCTGATCTTGTCAAGGTCACTCGCTTTGGATGACTTGCTGGTTGTTTTCCCAGGGTTCAACGTAGCTTTCACCTTGTCGCCATCCTTCTTAACAGTGTTGGCCGACATTCTTACGATGAGATAGACAACTGAAAAACAGAACGGAAAACCTATATTTAAAAGAAAGCGCAAAACTAAGTACATGGTACACCTATCAACACACGCCTTCTATCAACACACGCCTTCTATCAACTCACTGATAAAAATAACATTACGATGACATAATGGGGTTTGAGGTAGGAAGAAGGCGGTGGCGATGGATTGGACATACCCTCAGGAAGTCAGGCAGCTGCATAACAAAGAAAGTTTTGGATTTGAACCCTCAGGGTAAGAGACCAAGGGGAAGACCGCGTGGAACCTGGAGAAGAATCACAGAAATCGAGGTACAGAAAATTGGGAAGACATGGAATAACATCAAGAGGCTAGCCCAGGATAGAGAAAGGTGGAAGGTGTTTGTCCGTGGCATATACCCTGGTGCACGGTGAGAAAGGCAATGAATGGGGTTTGAAAGGACAACAATGAAGGACATATATCCAATGCCAAGTTAGATGATGAAATGTCAAAATACTTATTTTATTTCATATTACATAACAGACATGCATATTTTGTTATTTCCAAAAAAATACTTGGGTGATGAATCAAGACCAAAGCCTTTGTTAGGTGTCAGAAAAATTTCCAAAGGACAAGAATCATAACAAACGTATGGTGTAACTCATTTCACCTGGTTTACGTACATATGCATAGAGGGCCCATGCCCTGGCCACAACGGATCTACAGGAATTAGATATTCAGTAGCAAGTATTAACCAGCTCTAATCCAGGATTCCAAGTTTTCCAAAAAAATTAAATATAAGTACCCTATAATGATATACTATATAATATGTGTGGCATTGTGGTGAAATCAAGCACTCGTTAAAATAATGGGATCACAGAAACGAACATTTTTCTGCCCATTAGGCAATTTTTAGCCAATTTTATTTGGACTCGAAATCTTTTTGTTCTTTTAAAAACACATTTTATTGAAAAAGAATTAAAGTCAACAAACCTAAGCAGTTAATTTTTTTCATGATTCTTCCAGAAACCAGATGATCTACTTCCTTCAATCACACCTACTTATCACAACTTCTTTCAAAGACAGACTGAAATTTTTCCCCCACTGAAATCAAAACAACTAAAAAGAATTTTTAAGATGATGTATCAGTAACTCCCAAAATTGATGAGCTCCAGATTCCAATGTGTCATGACACAGACACAAATTAACTTTATTCCTTATAATGCACACAAAAATTGTTGTTTTGGCATTTAAAAGCACCAAAGAATGCGGAAATACATATATCAAACAAAAGAGACAGAACAATTGGTGTGATTATAGGGTCTTGAAAACTTTGAAGAAGATCTTGATTAAGATTTCAGATTTACTATACGAGCTGCTATGGATGAGTGAATCGGGTGCTGCTGATCTATAGGCCTGTATGAGACACCCATGCAAAGAGGGACTAGATTGTAGTCTCCACTCTTCCCTTTCCCACAAATATTTTCATGATCTAAGCAAAATTTCTAATTGATTGGTTGAGTCAGTTGAGCACTATGCCTGTCCAAAGTTAGAGGCATCCCACAGCCATCCATGGTGAGAATATAGGGTTAATCCTGGAAGCACACAGGCCCTATATAAAGGGCCAAGGGCGTGAGCCGGGCTACCCGGGCAGCGCGCAGGCCCTATATATAGGGCTGACCTACTTCAACTGGGAAGCGTGCAGGCCCTATAAAGGGCATAGACGCTGACCTTTTTCAATGGAAAATGTCAGTATTCCTTATAATATGGAAAATGACGGAAAAAATTACTGGTCAAAGTTATAAATAGTGACCAATGACTTTGCAAGTTATCTTGACTTCGTAGAGCATCTCTTGGCCAAGATATATATATTGATCGATAAAGTGACGCGGTCCAGCTGAGCGACTACATGCTATGTGTTATCACTTGTTCCGCTGTGCTTATCATATGTACTAATTGTTGAATTTAGGCGTTTTGCGCTTAGTTCGTATTTATTTTGATTGCTTGTAATTTTTAAATGTCCCATTCAATTGTTATTCGCCGGTTTTGGCCCAAAGTGTAGGGGGGTATAAAAATCCATAAAAATAATGTGGGGGATTTCATGAGGGCATGATTTTCCCATAATTTGATGTTTTGCAGTCGTTAGGTTTGATATCTTAGTTCGCAGCGCATCAAACGTAGATCTAGATTCTAAATGTAGATCCAGGCTCAAATAAGGGGGGGGGGCTGGGGCTATCGAAAAAGCACCAAAAAGTTAGCTTGCCAAGATCTATCTAGTCGTCTAAGTCATCATTCGGATTCTCTTAGAGTGCAGCAACTCTTTTATAGTTTGCTCAGTTGATCTTGTCACGGAACTCCTCCCAAAAATTCAAAAGGGCCAGGCCCAGGTAAGCCGGATAAGACAAATAAAAGGCGTGCTTGCTAAGTGTAAGGGCGGCGCCGCCTTAGAGTAAGGCCTGAGCCTGAGCCTGAGTATGTAAGAAGAGTAAGGCAAGGGACTGGACAGGTGGATTGTGTCCCAAAGGTGGTATAGCCTTCTGTATTCTAAGAATTAAAGCAAACTCACAATGACATGAATGTCACTCAACGATTTGCCAACTCACTCACTCCCACCCATTACTTCTCCCTAGCTGCTAAGTGCTAGACTACAAAAAAAAGCATCCATCACAAGTCACAAGACAAACAAAACTCAGTCTCAAAACATTGTCCAGATGCAAGAGGTACCTTTCTTCAAAATGACCTCTTCCTGGGCACCACTAGATCATGTACGCTTGTTTGTAGAATATTGTCATTGCTGGAAAAACACTTTAGCTTAGCCCTTTGAATTAGAAAAATGATAGAGTAAATTAAAGAAGCCAAGAGTCTGACTGGGCTTGGCTTGCAATGATTGTTGATCATTAATCATTACTTCCGGAAAATAAGCTTCTTGTTTTTGCCAGCCCTCAAAATATTTAAAAACTAAACATAAAACATCTTCGAATCAAAAGCTAGTTTGACAGAGAAAGAAGAATAAAGAATGTGATGAGGTCTTAAATAAAATTTTTTTTGAAAAGGGTCAATATTTCAAGACAAAATTAAAACTTTCATTGAAAAATAAAAAATAAAATATTGGACACATTGATAGAGTCTATGGAATATATAGTTTCAAGACACAATTTAGTCAGGTTCCCAAGTGGTCTAGTGGTTAGGATTTCGCGCTCTCACCGCGACGGCCGGGGTTCGATTCCCCGCTTGGGAAGATTTATTTTTTCTTCCATACTTTCATTATCATCCATTCGAAAATGAATTTTACTTTATTTGTACGCATAGCAATTAGTATCATAATAATTATTATAAATATTCTTTTTGGCAGTGAGGTTTTCAGATGACAGCAACTGAAAAGTCTTCAAAGACCCAACTTTTAAACGTGTTGTAATCAGTAAACGTCGCTAGATCTATAGGATTTTCATTTTGATGGCATTTTAAATCCTCTGTTGTAACCAACAAAAAAAAAAAATAAAAAAATAAAAAAAGGCAGCCATATTATATTATATACGTGAACATTCATGTACATATTATTATCTTTTGTTACGATAGCTCCCGAAAAAGTAGCTACCAAAAATCCGCCTTTTGGTGTGAGGTCAAAGAACGAAACAACAACCAAAATATGCCATAGTAGTTAAGCCAAGTATAATATACTTGATTATGTACTTTTATTGCTCTAAAATATCGTATTATAGAATGGGTAGTGATGCGCGGAGTATTGAGCTGTAGTTTAACAGCGCGGTTGGAATGAAGCGTGCAATGATCAACAGCTATGAAGCCAAATGAGTCACGACGTGGTGGAATCAGGCGCTCGTCAATTTTTGACTTTGTGGAGGTATTGATACCTTGTGAAACTTTATTTATTTGCCTTGCTTTCAGTTTTTAAAAATATCCATCTAGCTTGATTAGAAGTCGAGATATTTGCGATTTAAAGGTGGGGTAACCTGGTTTCAGTGGTTACATTAATGAGAAAATGGCCTCCAAAGTTGGTAATGTCAATAGCTAATTAAGAGTCCTTGAAAACTGAAAATTACATATTTTGTGCCTTTCAACAAGGTTTTTCAGTAAAACCTATTATGGAAATGTGTTTTCAGATGAACATATAGGTGTTTAGCCAAAAAACACAATTTCGATAAACATTTTTTCCAAACTTTTGGAAAAATACTTTTTTCTTCGATTTCATGATTTTGACGAGCGCCTGATTTCACCAAGATGCCTCACAAATATGTTTGTTATAATGCGCGATAAGAACACCTCATCGTATGCGCATTTAGGGTTTTTTTTGTTTTTTTTTTGTTAAATGTATATTACGGCGCTCGCAATTGCATTAGGTTTTATGAGCGCGCGGGATTCAACACACCAAACATTTTCAGTTGGTATGACATTTTGATTTTTTCTCGGGTGGCGGCCGAAGTCTACTCTTATGGATTTTGCACCACCAATACGGGATCTTTAACGAGCGCAACTTGCACACGGGACCTCTGAGATTTTTCGCCCTCGTCCGAGAAAGCTATATAGGTGTACCGTAGATCTTTCCTACCAGAAGATCAAGGGCGTGGCTGAAAGACCAGTAAAAAGGAACCAAGCAAGGAGTAGGCCTACCGGTAGCGATCGAGGCTGTAGAAACAGTCAGGAGCCCAGATAGAGGGTGGAAGAAGAAAGCGGAGACGAAAGCAGACGACAGAATATATTATTATTTCAAGAGAGAAGGAAAGAAGGTGAAAGGAGAACATTTTAGAGACAAAATTTTTTCCGTCGCTATCCGAATTTGAACCCGGGACCTTTGAATATGAGGCAATTACCTGTAGGTCACGAAACCCCCCCTCCCCCCGTATTTTTTTTAGCTATTGTAGGCTACTATCTTAACTAAAATAACAGTGTGCAGCCTTCACGTCTCTGACGTGTAATTCCGGTGTACCATAACTTAGTCGCTCGATCACTGACTCTATTTCGGACCAATTTACATGATGGGCAAGGAGGAAAATATATATATGTTGCGCCCCCTCTCGACCATAGCGAGGATGAAGTTTTAATTTACTGCTTGTGTAATATAATCAATCACCTACAGAGAAAGAAAACAGACCATGCGCATGATCCGATTTATAATGTGCCTACGAACAGAACATGATTTTAGCCAAGGAGACTAAAAGTTCTAATCTCCTTGATTCTAGCTCAACTTTCACCTGAACAGAATAAAACTAGAACTTCTCCCAAAGTGCCCTTTGTGTGACTATCCATATGTATATATATATATATATATATATATATATATATATATATGAGACTGTGGAACATCACCTTTTCCACTGTAAGCCCTGAATGACGTCAGAGCTACACTAATTCCCCATCCGAGACCTAACATTGACAACACACTCATCTATTGTGGAACATCAGCAACTGCAAGAAACCTGCACGTGGCATCGGGGGGCGAGCCAGAGTTGCTGGATCAATTATAACAACAACAACAACAACAACAACAACACAAACAACAACAACAACAACAACAACAACACAAACAACAACAACAACAACAACACAAACAACAACAACAACACAAACAACAACAACAACAACAACAACAACAACAACAACAACAACAACAACAACAGCAGCATATGACTTTATAAAAATGGATTATTGCTCGTTTTACCCAAAGTTGTCTACAATAATTTAAGAAGAAGCCAAGGAGCAGCAGCAGTAGCTATAGGCAAGAAAGTCATGAGCCCATAGAGTTACCTCCTTTTAAACTAGTGTACATCTATGCATGAGCCCAAGAGGAGGGGGCATATTAGGAGGTGAGGGGGTGGGGGCAGAAAGTGGAGATCAAGAAATTAACAGGTGACAATTTAAAACATTGTTAGAGAGCAAGAAAAGATGTGAAAGAGGAAAATTTTAGAGAAGGCAAAACATAATGATAATTAATAATAATTATGATGTAGATCCTTCCAGAAGCTTGTCTCACCTAGATATATAGGTTTGCTTGATATTTAATTTGCACATGCAATTGTCAAATAACCTACTCAATTTTCAATGAGAGCATCCCAACTATTGACCATAAGATCCTGCATATTAAAAACTAGTTTAACCAACCAACTTGAATTTCACTTGTTCTATCACTGCGCAAGTCTAGCAGTGTGCGGCACAATATTTGACTAGCGCGGTTAGCCTACGTAGTAGCCTACGTACGTGCGACTTTGAGAGATCAGACGGGCTTTTCGTCCGACACATGACGTACGCTGCAATGGTGCAACCCAGTGATTATAATTATAAAATACTCTCTGGCTGTCCCCAAAACCCGTACGCCTAAGCCACACACACACACACACACACACACACACACACACACACACACACACACCACACACACACACACACACACACACACAGAGCAACGAAAACATTCATCAGCATCAGTATTTAAAAAAAAACAGGGGGAGGGTCTTGACTGATTTTCAGACATAACATGAATAAAAATTGTAGAAGAAAAAAACAAAACAAACCCTGTAAAACATTAAATCGGCTCAACGTTTCACTACAGTAATCGGTTCGGAAAAAAAACAACGTTACTTTAGTTTAGTCGGTACATGCGTTAAAAAAAAGTTTACGTGGCAACCAACAGCCTTGCCGCGAAGTTTGATTGTCATTTTGTAAACAAAGAGTAGAGACAGTTCAAAAAGACGGTCTGGGCTGCTTCGGCGTTTTTATGTTGAATTTGAATCGATCAGAAATATAGTCTACAAACAATTACATCTAGGTTCAGAAGGTGAGAAAGTAATCTATATTGGTTTTTAAACATTCAGTTGACGTTTAATATTATTGATAGCAAATGACTAGATCTAGAATATAGAATCTAGATCTAGATATCTAGAATCAAGAATCTAAGATTCTTAGTCACTAAGACTTACTACTAAGATTAAACTTTGACTTTGTTGTCTTCGTTCAAATCAAAATCAAGGATCTCTACTTTTTTTGTTTACCATTTTATGGACCACGGCCACGAGTGAATGAATGGAAAAGAAAGAAGAGAGTAGATTCTAGACCTAAACGTGTTGTCAGTTTTTGTTTTT